AGTATCTCCTGTGTGCAGGAAGGTTCATTCTCTTCCAACTTCTCTGAGGCTCTTGGAGAATAAAGCAGTTTAAAGCAATTCAGCACGAGCATCCTAAAAGAGCTCTAAAGTGGTCTGGAAACCCAAATGTTGCTTATGTCAAAGGTAAGTGTTGAAAAACCCCGTTCCACCTTTATACAAACCAAGGCAATAAACCGTTATAATTTAAGCCAGAATGAATTGATAAGGAGTCTTTTTTTTTTTTTTAATGTGATTTACTTTTTTTTGTTTTGTTTTGTTTTTAAATGCATGTCTTTGCTCACATATAATCAGGATAAGAAAAAAAAATTAGGCCAAGGAAAGATCCAGAGGATAATGGCCAGTGGTAGTCACAGGGACTAGTGCATTTGTATGACATGGAGAGCTAAAGGGGATTCAAGACATGATATTTTAAAACAAATATTAACACTTCAATATGGATTCTCAGGAGTTTATACAACTCTCCCTAAAACAAAGGGCTAACTATAAAGTTACTGCAGGACAATAGAATCCCAGATCCCTTAATCTATGGAAGAGTTGAATTCTCTCAGAACAATGAAGAAGCTGTATCAGACTCAAAAGCAGAAAAGGTGGAAAAAAGTCAACTCAATGGAAGAATTTCCTTTTCTGTATTGCCTAAAAAGATCCCTTGTAGACAGAGTAGAATAGTGGTTTCCAAGAGTCTAGGAAGCTGGGGGAGTGGTAGAAAGAGGATGGGTAACAGGTGTAGGGGTGTAGTTGAATAGAAAGAATAACTTCTAATGTTCTACAGCATGCTAGAATAACCACAGGTTATTAACAATTCATAAACATAGGTTATAACAATTAATTGCATTTTTAAAAATGGATAATAGAGAGGATTTAAAATGTTCACTACACGAAGAAATGCTAAACATTTGGAGCAAGATGCCAATTACTCTGTTCTGACCACTACTCATTACATACATGCAACTGAAATGCTAAACTGCTCCACATATGTGTGTACACACACACACACACACACACACACTGTAGTAATCAATTAAAAATAAAAAATATATATTTAAAAAATGTGTCCCAGGTTTTGAAATATAAATCCCTGCAATTATATAGGTAAATGTATCCAGGACAAGCCGAGGAGAAAGACCCCCAGCCTGGTTGTGGAAACTTAGAACAGCCCTTAAATTGCCACTAGATAAAGGCAAGCTATGGCCCTCTTTGGAGTTCAGCTATCAAAGTAAACAATGGGCCTTCACAGAAGAACACGTACACAGCAACGAGTGTTGTGTGAAGCAACGTGAGTCAGGAATAGGTGGAAAAAAAGTCACCATAGAAGGATTATCATCATCTAAAAACCTTCTTTGGCCTTCAGAATGGCTAACGCTGCAATACTGGAAAAGACCTGACCATCAGTAGTTTAGGAGCTGCAGGTGACTTGTGAAGTTCTAATTCTTGAGTTGGCTTCTAATTTATGATCGCTGATCTTAAAGAATGGTCTGGGACTCCTTATTCATAATAATCCATTTTCTAGGGATACTTGTTTAAAAACAATCACAATGAGTATTAATTTATAGTCTATTCTTTTTCCTGAAAGCAAGAGTGGGATTACTGATATTGTTTCTGAATGATAATACAGGCAGAACAGTGAAGTAGTTACAGCCCAAACTGAGGAAGAGATGGACAGTCCAAGTCCCTCCTAGACAAATGACTTTAGTGGCTCTGCTACAGCAGAAACATAATGGGAGGCTTACAGTGAATATTGGCTCTTAGTGAATAGAAGCAAGACAACTCATCCTTGTTGTTACTGTATTAAACAATAGAACTAATATTATAGAATGAATTTTTAATACTTATATATAGTATAATGTCAAATCTATAAATGTAACTTAAAATGCTCCCATGCACGTTAAGTATAGGGGAAAAAGCAACCTAAGTATAGGGAAAAAAGTGATTTGGATCACTTTTCTGATCCAAATTAACTATAATTCTGTTTTTTTAAAAAATTCAGTAGTGATTAATTAAATGTGAGCAGTAAAACAATTAAATCAACAATTTTCTCTTATTTACTCTCTTTTGAAAGATCTAGTTTCTAGAAGATAATAGTTCACTCATGCATAGAAGTGTTCTGAATTCAACTTCCAGCTTGGTTGGGTTTAAAGGCAGGAAGTGTAAATTGCCAAGTACAAAAATAAAGCTAAACAGGAAGACGAGGAATGTGGGGGTTGGTATGTGGTGTGTATGTGCTCACCCTGAACACAGTGGCAGGATGGACGGGGGAAATGATAGCCCAGAACAATGTACAGTGCACCTCAAAAGCAGGCTTACACTTCAAACGACTTGGGAGCATGAAAGGGCCCCCAAATGTCACTTATGAAAATGCCATCTGCATTTTAGGATGGTGAAAGAAGTAAGACAGAGACTTGAACTCATTCTTAGCAAACAGACACAATCACCAGAAGGTGCCACCTGGCAGCAGATCAACACCCAAATCGACATAATTGAAGGAAATTTGATTTCTGAACAGGTGAGAAGTCAGATGCTGAAAATGCAATTATCATTCTCATCTCCAGAGCTGTGAATTGAAAATCTAATTGATTGCTGTTCCCCACCCACCTCAAAAGTCCTTTAAAGAATAAACAAATAAATTTAAAATTTAAAAAATTAAAATAAATAAATTAATTTAAATTTAATAGCTCAAGAATTTTTCTAAAGGAAAGATAACTCGACTCCTATGACCATAAGACATATGGCACTGAACCAACAACTTTTGAAAATGAGAGGAAATAAAACAAAACCAGAGGTTTTCTCTGAAATGGAGAAACAATAAGAGATTTCAGGGCTGAGGATGTGGCTCAGCAGTAGAGTGCTTGCCTAGTATATGTAAGGCCCTGGGTTCAATTCCCAGTACCAGGGGGAAAAAAAAAAGATGAAAAATATTTTTTAATGTGAGCTACCAGGAGGAAGATCATGTGTTGCAAATTAGAAATGACTTTACCATTCGTGCAACTTTGAAAATTATCCATAAAATGGAATTTGCTCATTCACAGCTGTAACTATTTTAAAGCAAACTCATATGGAGTGTAATAAAACTCCTATTTAAATGAATGACTTTTTCTTTTTGACATGCACAGAGTACACATAATCTATTTTGGTACTCAGAGGCTCAGAGAATGAGCCAGATTTGAGGCCCCATAGCCTCAGCATATAGTCACCTACAGGGCACTAATGAGAAGATGATATGAAAAACATTTAGTCCAGATATCGATTTTTTTTTACAAGGTTCATTTTTCTTAATTAAGAAATTGACTGTTACAAAAAAAAAAAATTAAAATCAAAAGACAACCTAAAGAAGAGTGGAATGATTAATTACAAATGGAGGAAAAGACAGTGGCAACTCATGACCCACAAGGATGAGAATGTAGAATTGAGAGCCCTTACACATCATTTAAAAAATCACATAGCCAAGTGTGGTGGTGCACAACTGTAATCCCAGCAGTTTGGGAGGCTGAAGCAGGCGAATCACGAGTTCAAAGCCAGCCTTAGCAATTTAGCGAGGTGCTAAGCAACTCAGTGAGACCCTGTCTCTAAATAAAATACAAAATAGGGCTGGGGATGTTGCTTAGTGGTCAAGTGCCCCTGAGTTCAATCCCCAGTACCCACCCCCCAAAAATCACAATCAACTTAGGAGGATGATAGGCCTGAGACATATCAAAGAAAATCAAACACATGGCCATAAAATGAATAATTGTTTATTTTTGTTAATGCTAAGGGAAATGGAAGTGAAAATCTATTTAATATCATTTTATATCCATTTGATTGGCAAAAATTAAAGTCTGACAATATCAAGTATTGAGTGTACGTGGACAGGCAGGATCTTTATATGTGATTGATAGGAGTGAAAATTGGTATGCGCACTGAAGAAAAATTTGCATTATGCAAGTTTTTTAAATTACCAAACAACTCTCTTCCTAGGAATACCCACAAGATAAACATACACGCACTTCCAGAGAAAGTTACAAGAATGTTCAAAACAGCACATTTTGTAAAAGCAAAACAACTGAAATGCCCACCCATCAGAGTGTGGACAGGAATAAACTGCAGTGGTCTATTCACAAGATAGGGTAGCATGCCTGAACTGTGGGGACACACAATTTAGAAATTTTTTTTTTTTTAAACAAACATTTATTTGCTTTTAAAGTCTTTAAATCACCTTTTTTTTTTTTTTAAGAGAGAGAGAGAGAGAGAGAGACAGAATTTTAATATTTATTTTTTAGTTTTCGGCGGACACAACATCTTTGTATGTGGTGCTGAGGATCGAACCTGGGCCACACGCATGCCAGGCGAGCGCGTTACCGCTTGAGCCACATCCCCAGCCCTAGAAAAATCTTAATGAAATATTTTAAATGAAAACATGAAATCCCACAAGATTATATACAGCATACCTATCCCTTTTATAAAGGTAAAAATCACTTTATAAAATATACTTCTGAGGAAAGAGGAGTAAAATAACAACAAAAGGAACGCAAGAAAATGGTGAACAGAGGTTTCAGATCAGGGACAGAAAAGGAGGCAGGTGAGTGTTATTATCATGGTCTTCGCCTTTTTGTTGAGTGGTGGGGGTCTTAGGTATTTACTACATTATTTTATTTTATTATTATTATTATTATTTTGGTACTGGGATTGAACTCAGGGACAGTCTACTACTGAGCCAGGTACCCAGCCCTATTTTGTATTTTATTTAGAGACAGGGTCTCACTGAGTTGTTTATCACCTCGCTGTTGCTGAGGCTGGCTTTGAACTCGCGATCCTCCTGCCTCAGCCCCAAGCTGCTGGGATTACAGGTGTGCGTCACCATGCCTGGCTCTACATTATTATTATTTTTTTAAATGAAATGAAACATATACTAAGTAACAAATGCCTGAAAATAAGTCATAGATCAAGAACAATCATAAACCAAAGATTATAATCATGTCAATTTAAAGAAAAATGGCCTTCGGGCTTACCTTCATAAAGCTGTGCATACTGGGGGAAACCAGTTGCCCGCAGCCAATCACAGGCTTCCTTGGCTTCGATTTCTAAAACAGAAGAAAGACAAAGCTGTCAGCCTCATCCACCTTTTGACTTAAACTGATTTTATTATACAAGCAAAACCTGACTTTAATAGAAAATATAGATGGGCTAGCAAACAAAAAGCCCACTCTATTCAAATGGTTTACATCTTTATGCATCTTTTCAGAGTTTTTCAGACGTATGTAATTACTCTATCTTCCTTTTAAAGAAAACACAAAAATGGGGTCCTAAAAGTAGGTACTCTGCTCTGCTTCTGAAGTGCTCCAGTTACAGATGATCATAAAAACAGGGCGGAATGACAGAATTGAAGAGGACCCTATAACAATTTCAAGCCTGCTTGGCTTAACCCGCTTTACTTTTTTTTACTTCCACCAAAATCCAACTAGTACATGGGACACCCTAGAGTAGAACTGATCTGGGCAAGGTTACAGACTTGTGACACCCAGGGGCTGGGTGTTTTCACAGCCCCAGGTATCCTGGTGATGAGTTTTTAGGCCAACAGGTTTTAACTCAGTAAGAGAGGCCCAGGCTGCCCCATGACATGAAGGCATGAAGTCCATAAATCCCAGTCTTGGCAGGCTGAAATGCCTAATAAAGCGTCTCCCTCCCTGTGGTTTACCATCTTGTAGATAGTATTGATAAACAGGAAGGCCCAGAGCATCCAACACACTGTGTTACAGCTCACTCAAACACCTATTTACAATCCCATTAAAACTGACTCACAGAGGAGGTCCTGGGCACATTAATTAGTTTCTCGGTTTGTACAAAGAATTTTCCTTTCAACTCCTCTTCCCGCCTTCCACAGGCCATTAGAGTACTTAGTTATGTGCAGCTATTCACTCTTTTATAGAGGTCGCAACATGGCTTAATTTACCCCAGATTCAAATCTTCATTAAGCATCTCTCCTCTGAGCCAGATGGGAGGGAGATGGCCAATATATTAGGAGAGGTATACACATCTTACTTTTGTCTAGTGACTTTACTGTTTCAAAGCATCTTTCACCTATTATTTCATGAGTTCTTTGGGCCTTTCAAGAAAGGTAATTAAGAACACTCAAATTCATTAAAGCAAGTAGGAATGCCCTTATTGGGCACACCAAAGAGAAAAACAAGCCCCTGATTTTCCAAGCTAGTGAATACCCCAGCTAAAAACAATTATAGCCTAGAGTGGAAAGGCATGGCAAAGTTTACCTGCATGAGTCTTTTCAGTGTAGAGATGAAAGTACCACCATTAAACACAAAATTTAGGGCCAAATTGGGGGCAGCGCATGGAGTGACGTTAATGTGTAAAGACTTTAATGTTCGCACTGAATAAAAGAATCTATAGAGTAGGTTCCATGTGAATTATCTGAACCTAACTTTATTTATTTTTTTTTAGTTTAGATGGACACAACACTTTATTTTTAAATTTTTATTGGTGCTGAGAATTGATCTCAGTCAGTGCCTCACATGTGCTAGCAAGCACTCTACCACTGAGCTACAACTTCAGCCTTAACTTTATTTTTCATGTATTTACATCCATACCTTGTCTCCACAGGAGGTTTTAAATAAAATTATAAATAATTTCTAGAAAACAATATTGCTGGGGAAACATAAAAACTCAATATTTATTTATTTATTTTTGGTGCCAGGGATTGAACTCAGGGGCACTCCAACACTGAGCCCATGCCCAGCCCTATTTTTTTAGAGAAAGGGTCTCACTGAGTTCCTAAGTGCCTCACCATTGTTGAGGCTGGCTTTGAACTGGCGATCCTCCTGTTTAAGCTTCCTGAGCTGCTGGGATTATAGGCATGCACCACCATGCCCAGCTCAATATTTTATTTTAAATAATGAGAAAATAACTTTTTCCCATCTTCATATCCTCCCCCTTCCCCCAAAGACAGATAAGGAGAGAAAAAAGACTGCTTGTTTTTTTTTTAAATTTAAAATAATTTGCCTCTTCTAGCTCCTTAGAGATTATTTTCTTTCTTTTTTTATGGTAGAAGAGGAGGGTACTAGGGATTGAACTCAGGGGCACTTGACTACTGTGCTACATCCCCAGCCCTATTTTGTATTTTATTTAGAGTCAGGGTCTCACTGAGTTGCTTGGTGCCTTGCTGTTACTGAGGCTAGCTTTGAACTTAAGATTCTTCTGCTTCAGCCTCTCAAACTGCTGGGAGTACAGGCGTGCACCACCATGCCCAGTTGAATAATATATTGTTAAAAAGTAAATGTGCTCACTCTTTTAATATTTTATTTAAGTGATGAATACCATAAGCACAAATTCTCAATGTCCACATTTTTTTGACTATATTCAGACATAACATCGGGTCAGCACAGATAGAAGAGCCTTAATTATAGACACCAATTCACCAGCAGATTTCACCCCCATTTAGAGCATTTTTCTGACTTTTTTTATTAAAATGGTCTCATACTGAGAGGCATGAATGATGTTAGATGTTTTTCTAAAAAGATTTCCATCTATTTTTTGAATACTTTACAAATTGCAATAGTATTTTCACATATAGTATTTATTTAAGGTCTCATGTGGTGTAGTAACACACAAACCTACCATCTTGTCTTGTCTCTCTTGTTTTCTACCACTAAGAAAATAAAATTCGCTCACATAACCAAAACTTGATCTAGTTTAAATAGTCACTCTAAGGATCACTTGGTGAAAAAGAAATGATGTGAAAAAAGGTTTGCTTTCTTTTCTTTTCTTTTAAGCAGATAATTTAATTAAAAACATACACTTCAAAAGCAGTACTTTTAAGAACCACAGAGCTCTGGTAATTTTACCCTTCCTTTTCCTCATCCTAAAGTAAATGATAATGTTCTTCTTTTAGAAACAAAGGGGTCAGATGTGGTAGTGGTAATCACAGCAACTGGGAAGACTGAGGCAGGAGGATCGCAAATTCAAAGCCAGCCTCAACAACTAACCGAGACTCTAAGCAATTTACAGAAAATTAAAATAAAAAATAAAAGGGACCGACATGTGGATCAGTGTTTAAAATGTTCCTAGGTTCACTCTCCAGTACCAAAAAAAGAGAAAGAAACAAAGGGAAACAGCCAAGCATAACTATTTTACGTTAAAAACATCCACTCCTTGAAAACTTAGGCTGCATAAAAATGAGAATTTAGGGCTGGGGATGTGGCTCAAGCAGTAGCGCGCTCGTCTGGCATGCTCGGGGCGCTGGGTTCGATCCTCAGCACCACATAAAAATAAAATAAAGATGTTGTGTCCACCGAAAACTAAAAAAAAATAAATATTAAAATGAGAATTTAACTCACTGCTTTGGTAGAAACCAGAATTAGAAAACTCTAAAACATTCTCACAGATTTTTTTTAGAAAATGGAATATATAGAGACTTTAGTCCTAGTCTTTCTAATTAACAGAGGACAAGGGAAAGTATTAACAATCAAACACAAATAGTGATTTTAAAAACATCCACGTGTGACTTTTAATAGGAAGTGAACCCACGACTACAGGCAGGTCAGGCAGGGAACGCCTTTCGAGGTTCACTCTCTGGTTCAGGTCATGACTTTGACTCTAGTCTCCCTAACTTAAAACTCTAGTCTTTCCTCTATTCAAAGAATCTATCCACCAACCCTGGCTCATCAAAATTCCTGAGCTAAAGTTTTGATCTCATCTCTCCTTCACGAATATCTTAGAAAATCACGTCTAAACACTTCTTTGTGGTTTTCAAGGCCTTCTATGTGACATTCAACCTAATTTTTCAGTTCCTGTTTTCCTGCCTCCTAGCCAAAGTAAACTGAGCATACACATCCCCTGACTTCCTACGCCCTATTGCCTGCATAAGGTCAAATTTCATTCATCCCAAGGACAAATTCTTCAACCAATGTGTAGTCTTCCCAGATATCTGGACAACTCCATCAATTTTTAAATTTAACTTTTATTGAGCACTTAATATATGCAAGGCCCATTCTGAGCACTGAATATATATTAGGTCATTTACTCTGAATACTGATCCTAAAATGTGGAGTACTGATATCATTTCCAACATAAAAAGAGGCTAATGAATCAGGCAAACAAGCAACCATCTCTCCTTAAAAAAAAAAAAAAAAAAGAGCTTTCTACATTTTTTTTCTCAAATGTAGGAGAGGAAATGAAAACTCAAAGAAATTCAAGTTCCTTCCAGAAAGACAAGTTCTTCCCTTAAAAAAAAAATGTAGCAATGAACAAAGTTTAAAATATTAAAGAAAACAACAAACATAAGACTTCAGTCACCTTACCATCTCCCCCAGGCTTCTGGAGACTTCTGGAAGGCTCTGAGATATGACTTTTCCTTGAGTAAATGTGGTGCTGATGTGCAAACTATGAGGATGATTTTTAAAAATCATTGCCCACTGGGGATAGATGTCATTAGACACTAAAAATCCAATGGAAATACAATAAACTTTTATACCTGGCTTTTCTCTAAGTGAGCAACACACATGTGTTAAGGAGGACACAGGAAATTTTTATTGGAAACAGCTTTAGTTGTTGGTCCCTTCACAAAATAGTTCTGCATGCTATACGAGTGAGGTCCAGAAGACCCTTTCATGTATGGCTGGGAACTATTGGGCAGTATTTGCATATTTCCTGTCATGATGGGATGTCCCTATCTTTCCACTATCCCCCAACACTGAGTTAGCAGAAGATGTCCAACAGACCCTCATCACTCTGCTAAGGTCTGAGGATCTCAGTGGACTGAGCAACAGAGATGGGGTCTAAGTAGGATAAGTAGGATGGGATTACTTCTGGCTTCTCTCTGCTCTATCTTCACAATGGGAACTCAGGTTTCTCCCCTTCTTCCCCAATATGTTACCAAAACCAGGGCTCTTATAAATGCTATACTGAATTTTCCTTCCTTCCTTCCTTCCTTCCTTCCTTCCTTCCTTCCTTCCTTC